TATGGGTAATAAATAAAAAAATCTTACTGAATTTATTTCTAAATAACATCAATTATATTGATTACACACATGTATTTTTAATTTAAATTACTTAAAAAAATTATATTTATACTTAACTCTAACATATATAGTATTGTTTTTAAAAATGCTTTATTTTGTGTGTTTAATTTTACTAAGAATCTGAATTAATTAATTTTTAAATAATATATAAAAGGAATTAGTCAATGCATTAATTATGTATAATAAAAATAAAATCCGTGTATAAATACTATAAATAATATTTTATCAATGAATTTGTAATTCACTTTTATCAAAACATTTAAAAAAAAAGGTGATTTTAAGTTACTCAACTTGATTTGTTTTTTTTTATTTGATTTATTTAAGTGGCTTAAAATTATCATTAACAATCCCAGCCTCAAGTATTTAATACTTAGTTAAATATTATAGGAATCAATATTTACATAGGTAATGATTATGATGAAATGACTCTTTAAATGACATAAAAAATAAACACACAGAAATTTTATGAAAGATTAATTATTTATTTATATTTATTCAATTAACCCATTTAAATAGTTATAATTTTACAAATATAATACCTAAGAAAATTTAAGTACTTTACTGATAAGGTACATAATATATTATTTAAGCCTTATTTTATCAAATATGTGTATTTATGTGTTATAAACAAATTTAATTTATTATGTAGGTACCTAATTTAACATAGTTAGGTTAGGTTAGTTAGACTTAAAATAATTAAATAATTAAAACTCATTAAAATAAAATAAAAGTACCTATTAATTATTTTAAACTTTTAATAATTTATATATTTTTATATTCGATTATAAGTATTTACCTAGATAAAAGTTATTATGTAAAATAAATTTTAATGTTTAATGTTTGTAAATTGTTTTTTACATTAAACAATAGCAATTATTCAATAACAAAGAATCTTATTTACATATAAACTGTAAAACAAAAGATATATTTAAATCAATAACACACAAATAAATTGAATGAAATGTATCAACTATTTAAGATTAATCTATTTTTTAATTCACTTAACTGCAGCATGACTAATGGAATACATTTTTCTAACACAAATTAAATAATAATTACTAGAATAGACTAATAAATATACAAATTAGAATTTATTTTACATTTAATAGTTATACCTAAAAAATATTTTTTTTTTTTTTTTTTAAGAGTAGTTATAAATTTACAAAACATAAAGTTAAGAAAAAAATGTACAAGTGCTCCGGGAATTTAAATTTGTGAAGATACATTATACCTATATGTATTGAAGGTTCAAATACAAACTATTATTCTTTAAATAATTTTTTATTATTACTATTAATATATATTTAATTGAAATATTTAACAAAATATGATATAATTTATGCGAAATGAGTGAAATTATAAAAAAAATGGTTAACATCTATCAATAGGTAAACAAAAAATTAAGTTCAAATTTAGTTATTTAAAAAATAAAAAAGAAACACCATTAAATAAAATTAAATAAACAAACAAATTAAATATTAATATCAATATTTACATTTTCCTTGTTAATAGACATCTCTTAAAAATGACATAATTAAGTTGCATTAATTAATGGAACATTAAATTAAAACAAATTATGATATTATGACAAATACTTAATCTATGTTTATCAGTTTATTTTATTTTTCTTTGTAGATAATTGATATTAGCTGGAAAAATTATAATCAATATAATTAATAAAATTTATAATAGTAATTTAAATAATGAATTTTTAATTATTTTATTATATATAAGTAGTTATTAAGAGTAATAAAAATAAAAATATTGCATACAATTGTCATATTAAATGATCTAGCAACTTACTTTAGGATAAGGGAAATGCTACACAATATAATACATTTTATTTGTTTAGTAAATTATCTACATAACAAAATTTTATAGTACCTAAACCATTCAATAGATGTATTAAACATAAGTACAATGCGAAGTACAATGTTTATATTAAGACATTTAATTCATTAATTTACTATTTACAAAAAACCTTATAGATTAGAAAAAGTATATGTATATACATTAAGTTGATTTTCTTTCATAACCATGAACTAAAGATATCAGACTTATCGGTTATTTATACAAATACCTTACAATGGATTTACATTTTAATACTCATCATTAAAATAGACATAATATGTTGACATTTACAATAACACCAATAATATAATATCCACTTTTAAACAAAATATTTTCAATTTTAAGTAGATTAAATAATAAACTATGTTTGGAATAAATTTACATTTCTAAAATTGAATCATATAAAAAAACAGATATAATGTTAAAATTATAGAATCTAATAAGAGATATGTAGGTAGGTACTTGTTATTTTATTTAAGCAGTTAATGAGATATCTAAAACTTAATAAAATAAAACAGTTATAAATAATTCAAAAATTCTATTTTTGAAGAACAGGAAAAAATCGACAATTATATAGAATTTAAATTCATAAACAAATCAAATTTTTATTCTGGACATAGGTACTAAAAATTATTTTTTTGTGAATAATGATATTTTTATTTTTACAATTTTGAATCAGTGAATACTTGAACTTTGTTTCAAAAGTTAAAACCAAAATACTAAAACAGTATTAATATAGATTCTATCAATTAAAAAATGAAACTATTATATATTTATTAAAGAGAATACTTAGGAAATTTCAAAAATATGCTAGAAAAATTTCATTCAGATATAAAAAAACATTAAATCTAACTAGTAAGAAACTTTTCATTTCAATACTTTAATTCAAGATTTTTTATACAATAGGTTCCTATCTATTAGTAATAAGTTTAATATAATTTTCAAATAACCAAACTAAGTATTACTACTTTATGAGTAGTTAATGATATATATATATAAATTATACTAAATTTATCTCCATACCTGATTGTGTTTTTCAAATATGATATAAAAATAACTATACATGGCTCATTTAATGTACATTAAATTTGTGATACTAACCAGAAAATTTAAAGGATTTTAGAATTATGATAATATTCTTTTTGGATTTGATACATTAGTGTCATAAACATGATCAGTGTATATGTACATCATTCACCATAGGGTTTAGATAAAACTAAGAATTTTCACCTATCATTATTTAATTCAAAATTTAAGTTATGAATACAATGCTTCAAAGCACTTAGTTTGGTTACTCAAACAGTTATAAGCAAGGAAATATATTTTTAGTGTGTTATTTAGTATTTAAATACCTATATCAAAACGAACAGTTATATTTACAGTTTTAAATAAATAAATATTTAATGTTGGGTTGTTGTATTTTATTCAATGTTAAAAAGCATCCTATCTATTGCATTTAAACTTTAATCAAGTGAAACATTAACCATTTAACAGACAACAAGTGTGAACCATAATCTAAACATAACAGGAATAGGCAGTATTAGTGTGTATGTACATGTATATATTATAATATAATATAACAGCTATTGTATAATTAAAACACTGATATTATATTTAAATGCCTTCCAATATTAATAATTTAATTATTGTTACATATTGTATAGGTAACTTGATTTAGTAGGAATGGTGTGCTGAAATACATAAATTATTATTTATGAAGATAAGATACACCAATCTGACATAATGTTATATACTGATAACGAAACACGAGTTTCTATTTTTTTACATGGTTACCAAACACCTTAATGAAAAAAAGGTATAAAACATACCTACCGAGAGTTTGCAACATCGACATCTACTCACATGTGGATAAGAAACCAGCGGTGGCGTTAAGCCTACGCAAAGATGACCGAGAGCGAGGAATGACAAGAAAAGTTTCGCTCACTCCAGATTAAGAGACAACTGATCAGACGCACTAAGTTTACCGAAATCCGTGCATAGAGTGCTAGTTGTTTTCGCAAGGAACCATCGCCGAAAAAGCCAAAGTGCAAGCACCCGACTAATGCAATCACCTGACTAGCAGCTGCCCGACCGAAGACTAATTTACATATTATTATTTTAGACGGTAGGTAGATGTCAACACCAAACAGGTAGGTTAGTATGAAACATTATTACTATGACGTTACCCGGGTACAATATCGTTATGATTATTATTATTTATGCGTATAAGTACTACCTGCCTCGATGGGTCGTCGATTACGACGTGTGCGTGCGGGAAAATTGTAGGTAACCGTGTACATTATAATAGTCGTCGCGTAATATTTTTCACACACACGTTCACATTCACTAGTCACCGACTCGAGCATTCACTCACACAGTCGCACACCAACACAAACGGCCGTGTATAATCGGGCGGCTGGCGCGTGTGCTTTGCAGTTTGCACACACACGACACGTTCACGTCCACACACGCAAACGGACGGACGGGCTCACACACACGTACGTACGGTTTGCACGCACACACGACAAGCCGAAGAGCCGTATCCGGTGGGAAAAAAAAATATGCGTATAATATATTTATATTAAATTATTATTAAAAAACGGCAAAAAATAAATTACACACGCCAACACCGACACGACCGAACAACTATCGGTCTCGAGTGCCTATAACAAACACACACACACACATACACTCACACACCCCCGTTAAGAGCTCGATCCCCCTACCCGACACGCACACACACCAGCTCGGAAAAACGGAAAACCGTGTAGGTAACTAGTCTTTGTCTTCGCCTGCTCTCGTCCACCACCACCTCCCCGCAGACGGGGGCGTTAGCGTGTAGAGAGTTGTTGTAATACGCGTATCTCGACAGCGTCCCCCCCCCCATGGACACTGCGAGTGTGATGATAATAATCGATGACAATGATAAAAAAAAAAATGATGATGATGGTTGACCGTGAGGTGTGATAATATACGCGAAAAAAAAAAAAGCTAGGTAAATTCGTAAGAAAAACGATAAAATAGGATGATCAAAAGAAAAAAAAAATTAATTAATAAAAAAAAAAAAAACCGTAAAGCTCGGCGCTTACTGTTGTTGTTGCTGCTGCTGCTGCTGTTGCTGTTGCTTCAGAGAGGGCGAATTGCTGTCCGTCGACGAACCGGGTTCCATAGCGGCACCGAGTAGAGTAGCCGACTCGCGGAACAAAGTGGCCACCTGCATCTAACAGCAGCCGCTCCAATCTGCTGCTGCTGCCGCGGCGACCGTGTGGAGGTGCTGCTGCTGCACTGCCGCCGCCGTCGTCGTTATTGTTATTACGTTATCCGGTACGCGCGATTGCTATATTATTATTGCGAGCGGCTCTCACCCAAGGCGCGTCGCGTTCGTACGAACGCCGCCGTCGCACACACACACACACACAAACACACACACCGACACACACGCACACACTGGCGCGGGCGCACACCGACGGCGGCGCGCACACACACACACACGCGCGCACGCACACTGCCTACGCACGCGCGCACACGTACGCACGCACGCACACGCACACGCACACAAGCGGACGCACTACGATCGCCGCCGCCGCAGCGTTTCCACAACGGCGCCGTTCGTACGCGCCGGCCGCCACGGCATTTTTCGCGGTGATAATAAAATTATTATTATTCGCCGCTCTCTTGTCGCGGCGAGCTTTTCCGGCGTTGTCGTCCCCAAACGGTTCGGCTGGCGCACACACCGAACTCTACGTTCGATTTAATATTATATATTGTTGTATAACGTTGTCACGGCGCACGAAATGTTAAAATACCGCGACACGAACGTCGTGGCCCGTGCAAAATCGTTTTTGATTTTTTTTTTTTTATCCTATCACAATCTACCTATTATTAATAAAATAATATTATTATTTTTATCATAAATATATAGGTGTTTTAGACGTGCGATGCGAACGTACCCGGCGCAGAACGGGCATTGTTTTGTTTTGTTGCAGTTGTCTTAGTCGCGATTGCGCGAACGACGCGTCTGCGTTTATTATTCTGATTACGTGCGCGCATACGCGTTTTTCAAAAACGTGAAAAAAAATAGTAAAAATTGTTAACAAAACGACGCGTTATCGGCGTCCGTCACGGAGGAGTACGCGATAAATTCCGCAGAGATCCGACGTGCGGTGCCTGCGCGCGCGTTCATGAACGTCGTGCGATCCCCCCCCCACTGCCGGCAACGCTCACGTTCGGCACAGATGAGCGAGCGGCAGGCGCGGTGTACGGCTTACGGGCGGGCGGTTGACGGGGGACTGGATGTAGCGAGAGCGAGAGACGGGAGCGCACACGCACGCGGTGAGCGAGCGAGCGAGCGGGGACAAACGTGAACGCGCACTACAACAACACACAGTCGTCGTCGCCGTAACGCTCGTACACGCACACTGCCGCGCGCCGGTGCACTCGCGCGCGCGCGCACGCACGGCCTCGCGGCGCGCTCAAGCGTTCGGTACGCGCACACTCGGTACCGGTGTACGGCGGCGGCGTCTGTGGTGCGGTGACGGACGGCGAGCGCCGGGGAAAATGTCAGCTCATTGGTCGGGACGAAATATGACCTGGAAAATAATGTTGCTGTTTCGATTTACGTATTGCTTAAACCTAGTGACGCCTTGACTGTTCACAACAAAACAACAACAGCGATAATAATTCAAGATATTAAGCTGTTATAATTGCCGTTATTATTACTTTACGGACTGAGAAAGGCGGTGTTGTCCGTCGACTAAACTTTGCTTAAACTTTTGCTCGAGATGGGTGAGTGAGCGAGTGAGCGAGAGGTTTTCGGCGAGCGTTTTCGCACCTCACCGATCCACCTCGTCTCGAATAATAATAATAAGTTATAGAATATACACCGCATGCTATTAATACAGTCGATCGTATAAAACGCATTGCCGGTGGTAGTTACAAACATGAGCAGCACAGCTGGTGGCTTGGCTCGGAAGTCGGTAATCCCACACTGTCTTGGTGTTCCGTGTTTGGGATCTAGGGGCACCTGAGGTGGTGAAACCGCATCCGAGACCGATGACGGCGGTATATTTTACGGTAAGCCGGCAACCTGTGGCGCCGGCGGATCGCTGGCCGCTGGTGCAGTTCCGCCGCCGCCGCGCGTACCATATTGATTGTTA